GATAATATCTTTGTTGTCATAACGTGTGGCACGGAAACGTAGCTTCTTTTTAGATTTTGACGAGTCCTAGCATTTATTACTGAAAAAAAGAGGTGAAATCAACTAGTTGGCCTTAGCGCGTAGACTTAAGTCGCACATCAATGAGCTCATTTTTCACGTTGATCCTCTCGAAAAGCCATGGATTAACCCTTCCAGCCAAAATGAGCAAAACGATTATGCTCGCTTCCAAATATTTTGGAACGCCGCCACATACAATGTATGTAGATATGAATATATATGTATATATATAAGTACATATATACAGGTATATATATACATGTGTATATATACCTGATATATATATGTATATGTATATATATATATATATATATATATATATATAGCAAGAGATCTGAAGGTATCTTTGCAACTGTCGTTGATATGCTTGTTGAGTGTATTTTAAAAGTTCTTCACGAAAATTTTCCTGAATTATGGCATTTGCGCATATAAGAGACCTTGGACAAGACACAACCAGTTGAAGAAACAGGATATCGAACGGCGTTTCGCTGCACGGGCCACATTCAAACCGTGTCTAAGTTCATAGGAGTGTGTCAGGGCTTACACCTACTCCTAGCACTTATTTTTTTTTAGCTATGAAAAAGCGTTTGACGGCGTCGAAAGAAAACCAATCCCATCAGCACTCGCCGACCAAGGAGTGGATCCGTCTTACGTAAGAACTCAGTCTGAAGTGTTATTGCGACTGCACCACGAAAATACAGCTTTTTCATCGACACCCTACCATACCCATAGGAAAAGGGTGACACCAAATCGCAAAAGCCGTCTATTGCCGCATTGCAAAGGATAACGAAGTCAATCGATTGGGACGTGAAAGGCATGCGTATTGATGGAAAGGTAATGGCAAAAAATTCCTATGAAATGTTCGTTTTGCTGACGAGATCGTTAGCTTTTCAATAAATACAGGCGAAGGAGAGAGATGATCAACAGGTTCCACAAAGAGAGGAAAAAATCGCACTAGGCATAAATCGAAAGAAGACCTAATTCGTGAAAAACCCTTGGTGCAAAGGCGAAGAGATCAAGCTGAGCGATTCTCTGATCACACAGACCACCTCGTATTGGGTGTACAACGGACATGAAAACAACATGAAATAGTGATTAGATGGAAGAAGGAGAGTAGCTTGGGCCGCATTTGATCCTCTCAAAAAAGCCACCGACTACCTGAAGGAGCCGAAAATCCGCTCTGATCTTTTCGGTTCAACGGTCCTTCCAGCGCTCCGTTATGCTTCTGACTTGTGGGTTGATACCTCAACCACGTCAAAAATATTGCTCCTTTTCACAGAATGGTTGAACGATTTTTTCTGAAATCTAACCAGCATATACATCTAGTCGGAAAGCTCTGATATCCGAAATGGGCCGGTCATATAATGCGAAGAACGGGAGATAGATGAACGGAAAAAACTGTAATATGGAATCAATGAGGATACAGGTGTTTCCTATGACGACCACACAGACGTTTGGAGGATGTGTTCGTAATTGAAGTCATTCAGCTGAACTCACGGGTGAAGTTCCCTTACAGATCACGGGACGAGACTCGCACCCGTCACCATGCTCGAACAAAATCACCACCATAGACGACAACTGCTTGGAAAAGAAACGAATGTAAAACGTGATGGGGATCCAAACAACGCATAAAGACGAACTGCCCACCTATCCAAGAAAGTAGGTATATATACTTGAAGAACAGGCGCAATCGTATGCACGTGCACGTGCAGGTGCAGGTACAGATACACATGTAGGCACATACATTCATACATATATATATATATATATATATACATCTATGTGCGCATGAGTTTACTTATTTTATTTTTTTCACGCAAAAATAGTTCCCAACGAGACGCTAGTATACGTGGAACAATTTGTCCTGATATAAGTGACTGTGATGTGTTGAAATTCTCGACTTTTCTTCAGCAGTCTTAACACATCGACTCTCGCATATTTAGAATTGATGCTTTTTAAATGGCATGGATGATAGAACGCATTATTTTAAAACCTTTTAGGGGAATTTTTGCCTCATCGTTATATTATGCCCTACGATACACCAACATACGATTTTCATAGCAAAAGTCGATGAAGTTTTGAGCACGAAAGGAAGAGAATAGAAATGAAAGGAAATAACAAGAGATCGAAGTGAAACAACTTGCGCGTATTTCCTATAAAGAAATGATGTTGACAGAGCATTAGTTAAATTTTCCGACTAGCACTGCTCAACGTGCTACATGTACAACCTTTATTCATCTACTCAGTAATCTACTGGACATCAGCTAAGTCCAGTCGTAATCTCCATTGTGGTGCATTCCAACCCTGTCTTCGGGTACCGGTAAGACCACGAAGATTACCACAGTTCTGGTATAATACATCTTTTCTCACTCATTTTGTTGATGAAATAACCACATGACAATCGGCTGGCTCTGATGTGGTATGTGGCTCACTACAAACTAAGCTTCTCCATAAAAAGTATCTAAGTAGTCCTCATTTGGGATAGACGTCTGCTGCAGGTCGCTGTTGCACACCCAAGTAACATCCATAAGCTATGAAGAGGTGGCAAAACATCGAGAGGACTATTTAATTTTATTGCTATAATAATTTTGCGAATAGCATAGTGATAGCCGATCATAAAGGGTGCGGTGCTGGCTCAATCGTACCCCAGGCTCACCATTGGGAACACACCAACCCGGCTATCTCAGGACTCCAGGAAAAATCGACTCGACCAGTATTGTACGACATTCAAGATGAAATGAAAATTCTGAAGAAGCCACGCATAAAAGTTTGAAGACCTAAGTGGATGATGGGTGCGAGAAAGCGAATCGAATGTGGGAATTGTTGGAACCCGCATAGTAGACGGGTCGTACAAGATAATAAAGGTAAAATATGGCAATAGTAAAATATCTTTGACAATCACTTCCTAACCAATACAAACACAATCATCGAAACGTTACAGATGATTTTCATGAAAACATACTGCTCTACAGTTCTAATTTACAGCAAGCGAAAAGATTTTACAGAATCCCACTAAGCTTCTGGATCGTGAGTCACTTCGCCATCATATTTCTATTTATTTACTGGTAATCATCGTATTGATCCAGTGGAATAGTAGGTGTGAGTTGTGCAGTACATAAATGAAAAGATAGGAATGAATCGAGCTAAAATAATTTTGAGTAAGAGACATGTTTTTACCAACACATGATAAGCACTGTGTGCTACAATGTCTGTAGCAGATTATTTTGCTGCTTTGTTGAGCACGGGAAGCGCAGTGTTTAGTGACATCGTGTAATAATGCAAGCGTAGCCTATCCTGGTTCGACCCTGAAGTGAGCCAGGAAAGCTTTGGATCCCTCCAAAGTCGACATATTGGACAAAATTTTCGAGTAAAAGCTCCTTCAGATCCAAAAATACTGGCGACTCCCTGTGTTGAGTTCGACTTCGACTTAGAAATTTCTACTCTACGATTTCAGGGAAAATGCAGACAAATCCTTCCTATGGCAGCAGAATCCAGACGCCAATCCGGTGACATTCGTTTAGGCCAAAGGCAAGAAAATGAATCGTAGCAAACACGTGCTGAGATCAGCACAATGTTTGAAATCCAGTGACATTGTTTTTTTTCTTTGTTTGACGTAACCCCTCATTACATCTACTGGATTTGAGTATATCTTCATACCCACATTTTATTTCAGCGATCAGTAAGCCTTTGACATGCGAGTAAAGAGAAGTGGTTGAAGATGCGGTGTAATACATATATGGCTGCCAGTTCGCTACTGTATACGGCCAATTAAGCCCTTAGAGACTGGTGGATTGGTAACTGGCTTGTCCTTTGACGCCCATCTGTCTTATGGTTATCACAACGATCGGGTATTGTTTATGCTTACGAGGAGAGCTATTTGAGGCGCCAAGGAAGATTAGTCTGATGGATATGGAACGAAGTTCATGAATAAGAGAACATCTTCAAGTAGCAGCTCAATCCAAACGTACATCCGAGCTAATTGACGGTTTGTGGATGACAGTTGCTACTGAAAAAAAGCAAAACGACTGAAAAAATGTTGCAATTCGGAGATTATTTGGAGAACGGTCAGTTATACTAAAATTTCATTGAAAGAAAGGAAAACAAGAATACGAAGCATTTGTAGTTCAAGCTGTTCCCACTCTTAATGTGGCGATATTTCGTTTTAAAAAAAATTGCTTCATCTCTGTACCACAGATTTCCTTCAAATGTGAGATCTCGAGGTGGTTAATCCAAAGAATACTTGTTTCGCTATTATATGGCAGATAGTAGCTTATGGATACCACAGGTGGGGTGGGATGGGGAAGGGAGAGGGGAGGGGTGGGTGGCGGGTCAGTCATAGGTGGAAGTAGGAATAAAAAGTGTTCACGGATTTCGTCAATAAGGCAAGTGGCTGGAGAGGCTCCTCAGGACAGATATCCCTTTTTTTCTGAGTGTAATCCGGTTGCAATGAGAAATTAGCAAACAGATTTTAAAAAATCAAGCATTTAACACAGCTCTTTGCAAATATCCTAAATGAAAAATACGGTGTTTTTTGGGTCCTACGAGAGAGCGGAACCCAGTAAGTAACCATAGGAAGGCCGCACGACAACAACCAAAGCCTTTCGTGGCTTTTGTTTAGATCTTTTGACGATGATGAAAGGTGATACATAAGTGATACTGGCCATACGATCAGTGTGTATAAGGAGATATAGTGGTTTTATGGTAAATAAAATAAATTTGGTACAATCTACCTCATCTTCTTCACTGGTTGTTCATTGGCGGTTGGGTCATCATTCACAGACATTGACAATGGGCGACGTGAGTTAAGATATTCCGTTATTAAACATTTTAGATTAAAATTCAAGTAATACGACGTCTTTTTTCCTAAGCTTAGAAGAAGCAGACGATCAAATCCTCCTTGGATGAAGATCACCAGCAATGAAGTAATTTAGGAAGCTGAGAAAATGGAGGTCGAAATCCCGATGGAGGAAGGAGAGCCGCTAGGAGCAACTCCGAACGATAAACTGATCATCACGAAAGTCCAAGAAGGAACCATTGCCGATGGTAAACTAAAAGTATGAAAAATTTGCTTCATAGTTATAATTATATGCACTATTCAACTATTCGATTCGAGCAAGAGTTCGCCGTTGGAGCGCAATTTACTTTGCGAAGCTCATCAAACTACCTAAAATGCATGAGCCATTATTGGTTATAGTCCATCGAAAAGTCGATTTCCATCAGGTCCACTATGAGTTTTAGCTAAGTTGACTCTATTTTTGGAACCAACTATTGAGCAAGTACTATTTACAAATTTTGTCAATATTGCTTAAGCGATAGGGTACTTAGTAGCACTAGGGATAGTTGGATAAGTGTCAGAGTTTTAATTTAATTCCCTGTACAGTAAAATCAATCCAGACTTCCTGATGCGAAAAATTTGAGTCTATTTGCTAAAATACGCTTCACTGACAGACTATTACTCACTTTGATTCAAATACTGTAGTACATTTAATGCAAATCGATTACCGTGATAGACTATTACTGACTTTGGTTGAAATACTGCAATACATTTAATACAAATCGATTACTGTAATCACTCATATATGATCAGTGAGTTGCTGAAATCCTGCTACAGATCGGTGATCAAATCCTCAAAGTAAATGGCCAATCAATTGCTGACCAGAACAGCTTTTTCAAAGCACTACGTTTTGCGCCACCGGTTGCTAGACTTAGTATTATCAGGTAGGAAAATTATGATTACCTTTTATATCCCTCATTCATGTCCGTTTACAGCAGTACTCTTCCAGAGATCATAAGAAAGCGGAAGAACTTGAGGCTCGTGTCCGCATTCCTGAAGCCCGTGCGAAACTCATACAAAGAAGGGATGGATTCGCGTATTTTGTGGGTTCTGTGACTTGCTGACGTAAAATTTCACCACTTTTCTTAATGACGTCATTTGTGCATGTTGTTCTTGCTGTACATCCACTATGATGAAATTTCTAATGTATTAGAATTGGACTAAGGCACCAAAATTAGACACCAATGACGATGAACGTTTCCGTTTCTAATTTGCAACCTTTTTCCTTTCTTAATTTCAAGAAGTTCAAAGTGGGATGGAGAATTGAAGGTCGCTGCCTTTGTTCACATCGCTGTCCACTACTTATTAGTCGCCTGGAAGTGGTTTCCCTCTATTCAAACTGAGGATGAGGGTGGGAGAAGTGTCTCTACAGTGGTGATTGAAAATGCGAATGGGAAGCACTTGCACAAATCACCAATCCGTTGCAAGTTGTCCATCAGTCGGAAGAAAATCTGTGAGAGTTTAATGTTTATCGAACAAAAAATAAAAAAAAAGAGAAGAGAAAACGGATATCGAAAAGTCAGTTCAATATCCGTATGTTCATTCGCACTGGAAGGAAGATAAGAAGCAAAGAAGTGAAATGGGGGGAAGCATCGGTGACGTTTATTGCTCTTGTGATTGGTTTCTGGATTGAGGAGACCAGCATTCTACATCAGCACAGTCTACTGTATTCCAATTCTTGGGCGGTGCGCATACGCAGTAGTTAGAGATATCCTGCAGTGGAAACAGGATCTCAGGTTTAATCCGCAACTCAGGAAAACCATAATTCGTCGTGTCGGTCAAATAGGTCTTCATTCACCTCCACGATCTCCGATGAAGTCCTATGCACGACACATCTTCTAGGGATTGATCAACTTTGGCAGCTTTATTTTTTATTCATTCATCTTTACGATGTTTAATGAAGATTAAATGCGTGGTCTAATCCTTAGAAATTGATTAATACCGCCTGATCAGTTAATCACTGCAGAGATCGATAGAACTAGCTGAGAGACAGGAGAAACGAAGGACCCGCGTGGTGTGGTGGTACACGCGTTACTCACCGGAAGGGATAATAGCGCGTTCGTTCCCTATCGCAGACACCTGCGGTCCGAACTTTTTCAAACATCTCAGCATCTTTGAGGTTAAATTCATTATACTTTATTTATTATGTCTGATTTTACAATTCTAAAAAGCAGGTAGCACAGTGGCAGTGATGCCATTCATCAGGAGCACGGTGCTGGTTCGACCCAATCGAGAAGCAACAATCTTCTTATCTGTCCTGGGTCGGGAAATTAGTACTAGACCTGTCTAGGGTGCAACTAGCTTTCTCCAGTCGAAGTGAGAACACCGTAGCTCAGCTATCTCAGGGCTCGAAGGAGAATCGACTCAAGAAGCAGCCGAACAAACACTCGAAATGTTCGAATGCCTTTGTGGACGATGAATGCGAAGAAATCAATGAAATGTAAAAAGCGCTGGGACCTGCACAGTGGATGTGATGGCGGGTCATGTAAAATAAAATGGAATTAACTAATTCTAGTGTATCCTTGGATTTCACGTCATTCAGTGGCAAAATACGGTCTTGGTAAAGACATAGATGTTTGTTCGCAGAAAGCTGAATTTCCTAGGATGCAGAAGAAGCGCACGTTACGCAGTGACCAGAGGCGCCCTGCAGTGTACACAGGATCGATCCCCGCGCCCCAGCCCCAGCAAGTCCCCCATCATTCCGAGGTCAGAAAATTGGTACCAGACTTGCCTAGGGGGATAGCAACACTGGCTCGACACATCGGTAGGCCACCGTAAGTCATTGTAGAGAGCAGATATGCATTCAATCACTTCCAACGATGCTCAAAAAATTCGAATGCTTGGTGCATCGTTCAAGGCCGAGAGCTTTTTTATGGGCTTTAGCAGTACGAAACTAGGTTAGAATAGTAAAAACCACTAGGAAGTTACTAGTAAGTCAATAGCATGGTGATGAAAAGCAATTTGTTTACTTTGTATTTTTGTTGAGCAAACGTGAGGTGTTATTATTCTTTGTTCACGATTAAGCTGACGTTTCGGCGGATTTCGCCTTCCTCAAAGCCCCTTTCTATGAGGTTTCCACTAAGTGGAAAATTTTTATTCTATACTTAGTGGGAACCTCATAGAAAGCGGCTCTGAGGAAGGCGAAATCCGCCGAAACGTCAGGTTAGTCATGAACAAAGAATAATAACACCTCGCGTTTGCTCAACAAAAATACGAAGAAAATTACTTGATCAATGCCGAGGTTAATAGAAAGCCGGTCGTGGCAATTTGTTTAGCTTGCGAAATTGATATGGCAACCAAATGGACCAAAGCTTGGTCTGGGAATCAAGCACTTCCAGAATCGAGTGCTTGTCTCACGTTGTGATCCTGATTCGCTGTCAGCTACTCAGTTGGCGGTTTGTTGTTTCGGTACTAATGCGTCATAATTTCACTTGAGATGTTACAACAGACGCCTTAGAAATCAGATAGATTGAAATCCTCAACTTCTCAAATAACTCAAAAGACATTTTGTTTGTGTTTGCGAAACGCAGTAGGGTAACGAAATGCATGCGTATTGACTACGGTCACGATTTAATCGATAAGCATGTTTCCAAAGTGTGTAGATGGACTGCTAAAATCACAACAGAGTAGATCGATAGTTGCCAATCAAAAACAAACGTCTTAATTCTACAGTTACCCTGAATAAATTGGACTGATATGCTCTATCCATCTTATAATTAGAACTGTGTAGAAAACAGCTTTATTTCTAAGGAAAGGAGTCGTTCGCTTCAAAATGGCACATTGTGAGAGAAACTACTGCTCGATTTCAGGTAGGAGACCATATCATTGATATTGATGGCGTCCCCGTTACCGATAAGGATGTTGCAAGGGATTTACTTATTAAAGCGCTGCAAGTGAGTGAAAATCCTTCCCCGAGCTCTAATATCAACTCACGAAACCGGGTGTTTAAGGAGAAAAAGGAGGTGACCGCCGTCGTGGAACGTCCCGAAACAATGGAGGCAAAACACTGGACGCAGCAAGCTCTCGTCACACAGGTACTTTATCTGAAGTCTGACTAGGTAGAAGAAAAGCTTAAAGAATTTCTAGTTGTAGTGTTTTTCACTTGTCTAGGTTTCTCAACCACCTTCCGTACATATGAATTCGGATGTTCGTGCAATCGCATCCAAGCAACGCGCCATGGTCAAAGAACCAAAACCGGTAGTGCTGTTGTTTCTCATTTGAATCCAGCTTGTGATGATACCGCAAACTTATTTTATTAATCAGTAGTGACTAAGAGATGTACTGAGCAAAATGTGAGCTCTTTTTCTCGTTCACAGGCTCCAAAATCCATCTTGCGTCAGTCGACAAACACCAGATGCATCACTATCAGCGATGAAGTTCAATCGCACATCATCGCATCCGATAACGAAGGAAGAACACTCAGACCTGTGAAAAAGTAGACGAATCACAGCAAATAAACAGCTGAACTCGCTCGCTTGTTTATGCTCGTTTATCCTTCATCCAATCGCTAACGTCTCAAAAGCACACGGCATTCAAATACTGCGAAGGTAGCAATAGAGAATTGCGTGCAATAAACAAAAAGAAGTAAATAAAATAAATAAACGAAATGACATAAAATAAATAAGTAAATGGCAAGTAAAAACAAATAAATAAATAACATACAAAAAAGTGATTTAGTGTAGAAGACATTATTTAGAAGAAATATTAGCTCAGGTAAAGTGAACCAGTTCCGAAGGAACAAGGACTGGCCAACCATCGTCGTACAGAGGTGCTATGCCACCTCGTTCAACTAGTAAATAGGCTGGCCATTGTGCCCATGCTATACAAAAGGTAACTAATTATGGTTGTCCATTTTCTAAAGTCGCTTTCAGAAGTCGAATAAACAAACAACTTGCAGAGAAATCTGATGCATGATAGTGGGAGATTGAATAGTTCAGATTTACCATTCAAGCCAAGCAATAGCCTGATGTGGTGCCTTATAATAGTTTACACAATTAACGACCTTTACATCGGGCCAATGAGATCCTTTAGTTTATGAGGACATTGAATTAATTATCCACCAAGTGATGTCGTAAATCAGACAGACCAACGTCTCATCGTCGAACGAAGTATACTCCCGATCCTTGTGAAACTACAAACTATGGGAAAAGTCCTATCATTTGTCTATCATATGAAGAAAAAAAAGCACACATTTATCGACATTTTTTAGAGGACATAAAAGCAGGTGTAGAATGAGAAATCTGTTTAGTTCAATGCTTCCAATAATACGTCGACAGAAAATTCGAACTCAACTCTTCTTTGGATTATCCAGTACCTAAGTAAATGGGTGTCGGCAAGCTTTCCATTTTCACCGTCATGAGCAAAATTAGGCATCAAGGAGGTTGAAAAAAGGATAAAGCTCTCGGCGTTGATCAATACCTGAGGGATGCGCCATGCATTCGACTTCATTAAGTATTGTTAGAGGTTGTTCTCTTTTTTTACAGCAATTGCGACGTTTTTATATAGCAACCTCGCAATTGCTGTAAAAAAAAAAGAGAACAACAGATTTATAATCCAATGCCGAGGTTAATAGAAAGTCGATCGTGGGAATTATTGTCAGGAGTGATTGAATGCACATCTGGCCTTTACAATGACTCGTGGTGGCCTGTGAATGTATCGAGCCAGTGCTCCTATCCTCCCAGACAAGTTTGGTATCAATTTACCGGCGCCGGAGGAATGGAACGCTTGGCGGGCCATGGATCGATTCCACGTGTATGTCGTAGGTCGCCTCCGACCACTGCGCCACACTTGCCCTTTTAAAGAGATTAGGAGCATCAGATTTCCTTCCTATGATCCTCATGAGAAACTCTGACTAGTTCCCAGGCTCGACTTTCTATTAACCTCGACATTGTTCAATACGTCAATGTATTCTTTTTGAGCAGACGATATGTTCTTAATAACAAAATTTATTGAATACTGACCGACGTTGAAGCAGGTTCAGCTTCTACATAGCCTTCAATGGTCCAAGTGACAAGTAGTCTACTCAGTCAAAACTATCATAGCCTTAGTAGATAAAACTCATTACATAAATTTGAACTCCCATGGTAAACATCGTCTTCTAAACAATCTTCGATTTCTTCTTTATAAGCACTCAGTTATTGTTGTTGAAATATCTTCGACTTATTGTTGGAGGTCAGCCGCACAATCTTATATGGATAAAAAATCTGCATGGCGACGTTTGAAAAACTAGCCTGAGGTATGGAGAGAAGCCATGCATGATCAGGATGCACTCCTCCCTACTGTTCATTTCTGGATCTTTGCACAGTAGCTCCGAATAGGTTTGGAAGGAAAATGGAGCCCAAAAGACAAAACTAGCGAAAATAAGATTCTGTTTAACCTTCTATTTATCTCTAACACAGCTGTAAAGCGATGTTTATAAACGCCCTAGCAGTAATTGAAATCTCATCGAACACTCTAAAATGTCAGTCAGTTCCAAACCGTTTATACGAGAGCCAGTGCATTGGCATAATTTGCCCTAATGGTAGAGAGGACGATTGTATGAGTTCAGGAAGAATACACCTGATTTCTTATAAAGAATGTGGAGAGTAATACCTTGGCGAAACGGATGGAGCACTATATGCCCGGATAAGAGAGTAATCAAACGGGAAGCATAGAGTCAAACAAAACACTTTACTACGCATGCAAGGGACACCAAGCCACAGCGGGAAAGATTTAAAGTAACAGTGGCCTCACACATGAATCCAAAACAACAGCGTAAAACTCTTGAAATATTTCTGACAAATTCTAAAATCCCAAAAATAAACTGCAAGGAAGAGTATCCCGTGACCAATTATGGCCTCATACTATACCTCAGGTTGATTTTTCCATCTGAGCCATGTTCATTCCTTATCCATTTATGGGTATGAAGTGGCTGTGACAAATGGATGTGTCTGTCGATGAGAATTAGTACCAGGTGATATTCTTCAGTTCTGTCTCTAAGGGGCACTGGGGAAAGGTCATGCAATTGGCGATTTTCCGGCTACTGTTGTGTAATCTCTTACAAAACTCTACGGATTCAGTCAGGCCTGCTGTCCTTTTTGGGAGTTTCTTTTATCGCTTACAGTGGTACCTCACAAGCTCTTACCACCTATGATGGTGGTAGTCTACGCTTCGTATAACTCCAGATTAGCGTATCTGCTAGGTATTTTCCGGAGACATATGTACCTGCGGTAATTTTCTAACTCTGGGCTATTTTAGCACTCTCGTGAAAGTATTTGTCAACTGGTAGTATTCCTCATAGTGCTCACATATAAGTGCATCAACTTTTAGCGATAACACTGGAGGCCGAAAATACAATTGATAAGATACCCTTTTCCAACGATTTTGGGAGTTAGCTACTTGGATACTTAAACAACCTGTCTTCACATTTCCTGCCAACAATGATTCCATTCGCTTCATTGTCGTGCAAATGTCACCCACTACGATGGACCGCCTGCTAGTTAAAGGTATGTTAATTTCTGTTCTCATTAATCTGTTGAATACTGGTCGAAGATCATTTTCCTTAGAAACTAAAGAGTGCCAAGCTAGGTCTTCTAATGTTGCACCCAAATACGGTTGCCGGCCTTTGTGGACCGGAGGGGGATTTGTTATCTTGCGACTCGGACTTATCTAGGATGACAGTGATCCTCGTGATGACAGCGAATCCTGTGACCCAGCGCTCAACGATGATCTATCAAGCCTAGGCACTGAAATTCGCTTCGGCAATTTCGATGATTTTTTAATCGTACGTTAAGGAGGCGACATTTCGATCCCGTTCAGAACTTTGGTACATCAACATCAGATAGCATCGCTTTGGTGTGCACATAGTTTGCCTCACGATGACACTATACACTGGTAGATCCCCACATCTAATGTTTAGAGGAGGACTTCAGGAACCGTGTATGGTCACGTACAAAGGTAGTGATGCCCGTCATCACGAGCATAATGATAGTTCGACTACGGTCCGGGCCAACCAAATCTCTCTTCCCTCCGGGGTCGGGAAATTGGTACCAAACTTGTCTGGGAAAAAATCACTCTGCAATCCAGTTGGTAACGTTCCAGCCCGGTTAACTCAGGTCTCCAAGGAGAATTGCTCGACCAGCAGTCTAAGGCATTCAAGATGAAATGAAAATCCTCAAGTAGCAATGGAAGCCACACCCAAAGGTGAAAGGTTTTCATGGATGATTGATGCGAAGAAACGAATTGAATGTGAGAAGTGCTGGAATTCGCACTGAGTAGACGTGAAGACGGGACAAAAAAAAAAATGAACTCATGTAACCACCCCGTTCATTCCATCACAGTCCATGTGTTTTTCAGACTTTTTCTGCGATCGATCCTGGTGTTGGAAAGTTCAGTGACCATAGTTCGCGGAAAGCACAGTCTTTTCTGCAGAACTTCTCCAATTCCAACCTTATCCTCGTCACGCATCGGTGGCGAAGCTTAGGCAACAATGAATCAGAAAGCATTAATTCTCGCCCTTTCAATCGTAAACGTCCATTTCGTGTCGTTAGTTGCATCAACGAACCGATCTTTATAGAAAAACCACGCTAACAAGTCCTCCATTATCGAATGTTGCAAGTTTTTTCCCTACATCATAAATGGCGTTTAAAGCCCATACCATTCTCGTTTCAAGCACACTAGTGACATCGTACTCAATCTCCTTACCAGTAAAAGTAAATTGCAATAAATATCCATAATGATTCGAAAGACCGACTTTCTATAAATCTCGGCATAGATAGTTGATATATTTACTTATGTGATCTTATAAACTGATCTTCTTAAGCTGACGCGAGCTTGGTACAGATCTTCGTTGTCGTTGTTTTTGATGTTATTGATCGATGGCTGACGTTTCGGCGACTTCGCCTTCCTCAGAGCCTGGACGTACTTTATGTTAGAATACTTTTTATTATTCGGTGAAAAAGAAGGTTAAAACATTAATGAAGATCAAACTTTCAAATAGACGCCATATTGAACAGAAAGGCCACTCACCGTGATGTTACGTGCGGGACTGGCCCACACGTAGTTCACGTGGAGTGGCGAGCAAGACACGCCCCGGGGTCAAAATATCATTTTGAAATAGGGCGCCAGGTCACGCGTGATAGTGAGGCATTCGTCCTTCCGGTTCATCTTTGGATTTTGAAATTTATCCAAAACGCCTCAAGAGTTTTGCGCGTTGATGTTTTTGATTCCTGCGCTAGGATCCGCACATGCACTTCAAAATCATCGCCGTTGTGCTTTTGTACCCTATGCGTACCTAGAGGGGTGTTTAAACGGATTTTAGCTTTTCCATCCAGATGTTCTTTTATGCGGACACAAAGTGGTCTACCCGTTTCCCCGATATATTCCTCGCCGCATGCATTACATGAGATCAAGTATATTATACCTAAACTCATGCAATCCCCGTCTCTCCCGTTAGGACAGA